ACACAAATTCATTTTTCTTAATAACTGTGCCAATTGCATTGTGGAATCTTTTTGTGGGCGGAGGAAGTAGTTTTACTTATTGAAAATTATGCCTAGTCAAACGTGGCAAATTAATTTGAAAAGGAGGGAGTACTTTCTCTATAATAATTTAGTATTAATTTCAGAACCCAATTAAAATTGACAAAGAAAAATCTTATAAGGACATTATATTCCTCTCTAATAGCTTAAATTAATGTATAAGTTTTTACATTTATATTGTTAAATACTCCTTACATGATAAATGGAGCTAAAAGAGCCATTTGACAATGTTTTAGCTTCGGGTAAATAATGGACTAGCTCATAGTGTCGCATTAAACTTCCTTTGTTTCTTATGTTCTATGTAGTTTTGGGAAATAGATGCATTAAGGATATCATGTTTTTACTTTTTAGTAGAGAGGATTTGGTACATCTTGACTCCCAGACCCTGACAGAGTTAAGAATATACTGGGGTTGTGGTACTCCATGCAATTTAAATTTTTTAAGAAACCATTTCCAACTCAGTCAGTTGACCCAAACAATCTAGGTCATGCACAGATCAAAACCTGCCCGACCTGTTTGATAGCTCTAGTGGTGCGTGTATTCAGTTGCATTAGGACATTATTTGGGATTATCTTCTGTAAAGGGTTTTCTTTTTTAATGCAGAGGGATGAAGGAATCCAACTGGTGACAGATGCCATAGAGGCAGGTATTTTCAATGATCTGGGTAGTGGGAGCAATGTCGATGTTTGTGTCATAACTAAGGTATGTTTCTTGGAACACTTCCCAATTAAGGTTTGACAGATACTATGTGGTACTACCACGCGATACCTAAATACTTCTAAGAACTATGTATGTTTTTTTGTTCAGGGGCACGCCGAATACATTAGAAACCATAGGACCCCGAATCCCCGAACGTACCCCCAGAAGGGTTATACCTTCCCTAAAAAGACTGGTTCGCATTCTCGCTTAGTGTTTTTTTTTCCTCTGAATGCCTTGCTATTCGTGCCTTGGATGATTAATTGACTTGGAATATTAACTGTTTCTACAGAGGTTCTTTTCACGAAAGTCACACCCTTGATTGACGTGGGGGACGTAGTCGTTGAAGGCGGAGATGCTATGGAAGAATGAAGTGTTTCTTGTAAACCTCTTATACTATGTTTTTCATGACATTTTCCTGCAGATCTTTCATAAAAATGTGTATGAACTTTATTCAATGTTGCTTTCGGGGGCAACTCTTGTATGTGCAAATTTATAATTTGAGATTGTCTTTGAATGATTTGGTGTCTTTGTTGCTCTATGGGTCTCATGAAGAATTTGCTAGTGTTGGTAAGTTCTCAAAATAATCATTTCAAATGAAGTGTTTTTTCCAAAATAGTATTTTCTGATTAAGGAGGTATATTTGATTCAAATTTTAAAATATTTTGACAGATTTTTAATAATCCATGAATTATGTATAGTCAATGGTTGTTTTAATTTCACATTAAATTGTATAAAAATGGCTATTTTAAAAATTTACTTAAGTTTAGATAATGGAAATACAAAATATCTTTCAATTAATTGACACATAAGAGACATTTTCACGAAAAATTATTTAAAGAATAAATCTTAGTTATAAATTACCTCGTACAGAAATTATAAGTTATTAAGGATTGATTTGTGAAAATACTTCATTACAAATGACCATATTGAAAATGTACTTTTTTTTGTAAAAAAAAAATAATCGTGCGTACTTTCGAATTGATATTGGCATTCTTTGACCCATTTGTTAACTGTTACTCCGTAGATTTTTATGGTAGCCGCATTACTTTTTTTTTTTGGAAAAATTATTCAAAATAATCTCAACTTTACCCAGTCTTTCAAAAATAATCCCACCTTTCACTGTGATGCATAATAATCCCAACTTTACTGAAATTTGCCAATTTTGGGTCGCCGTTAAATTTCTAACGGAGGGTTAACGAAAATGCCCGTTTTAAGCAACAAAATGAAAGTTGGGATTATTTTTGATGAATTTTTGTTTTCTAATTTTTTTTGAAATTTTTATTTAAATTTTTTGAATTACTTTCAACCTCCATTTCTTTTTCTTTTTTAAAGATTATTCTTACCTTTGAAAAAAATAGATATAAAAAATAATAAAAATGAGAAAAATAACTAAAACCATACAAAATTAATCAAATACATAATGTAATTAATAGGAATTAAACAGAAACTGGTAAGAAATAAAATAAATATATACAGAGAGTGGGTTTTAACATTTTACACACTATACGGAGTCTTATGTACTACTTATTTTTTAAAAGCAAAAGCCGTCCAGTAAAGTTGGAATTATTGTAGATAATTTTTTCTAAAAAATAAGAAGTGATATGTTAATACTTTGTATAATGCGTAAAATATTAAAACCCACCCGTATATTTTTATTTTACTTTTAGAAAAATAAAAACCCACCCGTATATTTTTACGAGTAGAAAAATAAACATGTGGACAATTTTAGTTATTTTTTTCATTCATTATCTCTCTTCACCATTTAATGATTATTGTTCACTTGTTAATTATTTTAAATTTTTAAATACTTTAATATTTCAATTTTATTCGTTTTTGTTTTTATGTATTGTGTTCAAAAAATAAGGTAAAAACTTAAGGGGTGAGGTTTCCATGACATTGAAACCCCATGTCATGGGATGACACTGAGGCACTCCGGTACCCTGTTCGTAAAATTAATGGTTCCTACTTTTCAATGTGTGTGTGTGTGTGTCTATATATATAGGAATTGACTCTAGTGAGATGACCCCTTATGGTGAGATGACATGCTTCGATCAGATGACGCAAAGCTCGCCACTAGCCACTGCAAAGCTCACCAAACTGTAAGGCAAAGCTCATCATATTTTTTCAACATTTTAAATTTTTCTTGAAAAAATAAAATCAAAGGAAGGGTGCTGACTAGACTTTGACCGTTGACCGCCAGCATTGACCGCCGCCTACCGCCGGTTGCCGGCCGCTGCCGGACTCCGGCCCCCACCGCCGGCCGCCGGCCGCGCCGCTGCTCCGCTGCCTGCCATTGCCGTTGACCGGTGGTTGACCGGTGTTGCTACTTTATTTTTAATTAATTTTTTAATTTTCAAAATTTAAAAAAAAAGATGAGTTTTGGTGTTCAAAGTGGTGAGCTTTGCTTTATTTCCAAGTGAGCTTTGCATTGTCCATTGGTGAGCTTTGTAGTATAGTGTGGTTAGCTTTGCGTCATCTGATCGAAGCATGTCATCTCACCATAAAGTGTCATTTCACTGGAGTCCATCCCTATATATATATATATATATATATATATATATATATATATATATATATATATATATATATATATATATATATATCAAGATCTATAAAATGACACAAGTTAAAAGGCACATAAGATTTTCCATCAAAGATTCAAAACAAACTCCAATAAGAGTGCCCATTATCACCGGATTTACCGCCGTTACTTTTTCTTTATGGTTAAAAAAAACATATGCTTAATGGAATAATGCATACCTATTTTCTACCCACATTCATTAATCATACCCCTACGGAGAAGAGGTGAAAAACTTGATGGATGGAAAATAACAGTGACCTAAATGATCCCAAATCCGCCCCGCTCCAATTCCTGCTACATGAATATTTCACTAGTTTTTTTGCACCACCCAAAATCTGGTAATGATATCGTCCTGAAAATACACTTTTTAATTTTTTTTACATTATTCATCATTTTAAATTAAATTTTAAAAAAACCAAATACATTGAGCAGCTTGTCAAGCAATTTCACGTTGCATCTTCGCTTGGACGTAAAAGAAATACTAATGCTACACCGCAATTAGCATATCCACGACCCCATCATCTGTTGAACAAAAGAGAGTGTTAGGAGGTGGTTATAGAATTTCAATTCTAATAAAAATTGGTTGCTTTTTCTATTGTTTTCACAAAGTTTGTATCTCTATGACTCCTAGAATGGAATAAAAAGTGTACCCTATTCCTACAAGTTAGAGTATAAAATTTTTATTAGGCCTACAATTACAAGTTTAAGTTTTCGTTGAGATTATTTTTTAAAACGATATCAGAGTTTTGACGACTAAGAGGTCACAAGTTTAATCACCATCGCCACCCAAATTTTAAAAAGTAATGTTCACGCGTAAAGTTCGAGCAAAAATAAATACTGTCTGCGCGTGAAAAAGCATGTTAAAGTATTCTCCGTATAACTTTTTTCGAACCTACAACCATAAACTTGAATTTTTGATTGAGTTGGTTTCTTGAGAGGATTTATTCTCTTTTTCACCCATTGCAAAAAAATAAAGAAGGAATGGCAAAAAAGTTAAAAAGTAAAATAAAGCAAAAAAATTGCTTTTGACAAACGGTCCTTATTTCTTTTTAAAAAAATACTGCTCTTTTTTTTAACAAATCTTAGCTACTCTCTAACAAAAGGAATTTTAATGTTTGGCCTCAAAAATCTTAGCTGCTCTTATAAAATATTCGTAATGTAGCATTGTACGCTGATATTTCAGTATTGTTTTAGCATTATTGAACATTATAAGTCTTACTCCGTATTTTAATAGAGCCCGGTTCCATGGCCACTGTACGGAGCTCCGTTCATAAAATTGATGATTTCTACCCCCTCTAACCCTCCGGTAAACCCCCTCCCCCCCGCCAAGTCCCGACCCAAACTAATCACCCCACCTACGTCAATTGCACCTCGTAAGTATAATTGACTTTAAAGTCAAAAGTTTTGACTTTATACTTACGAGGTGCAATTGACGTAGGTGGGGTGATTAGTTTGGGTGGGGACTTGGCGGGGGGTTCACCGGGGGTTAGAGGGGGTAGGAATCATCAATTTTATGAGCGGGGCTCCGTAGGGGGCAGTGGCTTCCGTGGCCACTGGAATCGAGTGGCCATGGAACCGGGCTCATTTTAATATCAAAACATTGAATGTCTTATTTTGATTTGTAAAATATGTTTTTGTCCTAAGAAATCTTTCTATTTTCTTTTCTAGTTATGAATATTTGCTTTCCAATATTTATCTCCCCTCAAAAATCAAAATAAATTATAGCCACACACTCAAAAGACAATTATGAAAACAAGATGGGCTTTATTTTGGGATTGCGATGACAATATGTTGAAATAAATTGTACTACATCAAAAGGGACAATTTATGTCCTCTACTACATAGTCTTCATGTGCTCCTTTTTTCTTTTGTATGAACTTGATGAGTCCTTCAAGGGCAATATCGGCATTTTCACACTTCATAAGCTCTTCCGCTATCTCCCCCGGAGTCACGTCCGTCTCAGATAGAAGTTTGTCGATCTCGACAAATGTGGAGTGGTCATTCAGTCCATGGTAATTTGATGCAAGAACCCGAAAGGCACTCGGAGTGCAATAGGACATGTGGATGTGAATGTCCATTCTTCTGGGTCTAAGGAGTGCTGGGTCTAGTCTTTCTTTGCAGTTAGTTGTGAACACGATGATCCTTTCGTCCCCACAGCACGACCATAGTCCATCAATGAAGTTCAATAAACCTGATAGCGTTAGCTGCCCATTAAACAAAACCTTATCATCGCCTGTTTTGAATGGTGAATATGTACAAGTATAGTACATTTGAAAAAAAATAAGTAATAGAACACAAAAGCCTTATTCTAAGATAGATGAAGTACAAAAAATGTGCATTTTGTGACTCTTAAACGCGAAAAATAATAATGTCCCTCGTCATTACCTGACTTTCCTTGTGAGTGTTATCGACAAGGTTTCTGCTCCGCGCCTCAATGTTGCAATCAATATCCTCAATTACAAGAATGGATCTATTCTTGGTCATGGGCATTCTCACTTGGAGTTCCGAGTTGCTCTTCAGGCCTGTGAGGTCTAAGTCGAAGATGTCGAATTTCAAGTAATTTGCCATCGCCGCTATCAGGCTCGACTTCCCAGTTCCTGGGGGCCCATACAACAAGTACCCTCGCTTCCATGCTTTCCCGACTCTCCTATAATACTCCCTTCGTCGCACGAACCGGTCCAAGTCCTCAATGAGTTCCCTCTTGAGGTCCGGGTCCATCGCAAGAGTCTTAAATGTGGAGGGGTGGTCAAGACAGACTTCCTCATGCCAATTTCCAAGTGGCAAAAGCTTGATCATCTTCTCCTTTTCTCTTAGCTCTTTTGACTTTTTCAACACAAATGGAATATATGATGTCAAAACCATACCTTTTATCTCCTTGTTGAATGTGAGTTCAAATGATCTCAAGTCCCCAACTTCCGAAGGCGGTCGAACATCGTAATCGTTGCTTGGCTTCTGACGAGACGAAGTGGGGGCGACTTTCATTTCCCATATGAACTCTGCGCCTTCAAACGTGTCATTTATCTTCTCATTTCTGCTTACAACGAAAGAGATATTCGCTTCTTGCGTCGCCTTGCAGATCTTGAGCCTATTGGTCGATAACGTGCCCAACTTTGATCTTAAGTAAACCTCGGAAGCCTCGAAGATCTCGTTGGGAGTGAGGCCGTTGTATTCTTCAATGACCATTGTCATTTGGGATGTGAAGTTGCACATTGTCATCACGCGTTCGAGTTTTTGCCAGATTCTTGCCCGGATTTCTCCGGGCAAGATCTGGTTGACAATGGCTTTGAACTCGCCTAGGATTGTCCGGATCAGGAATGCGAATCCGGTAAATGCTGTGTATGCGGATAGAATTGGGGGCAGATTATTAGCTAGGGAAAACATGTGTGTTTTGGAGATTGACAAATTATTGCTATGGATTGAGAGGTTTCGTGAGCGTTTTGTATTTTGAACTCAAGCTCAAATATTGGGATTAACCAACAATGCTCCCCACATATGACTTATATACTAATCTCAAAATGAGTTTCGAGATTATGCACGGCAAATAATTTTTTTCTGTTAATTGAAATTTAAAAATTATACTTGGGTATTCGATCTATCTTAATCTGAATTAAATACATAAAATTAATTATTAATTTAACATGGCATATAATAAATATCTAAATAAATTTTTTATTCTAAACTACATAAAATGAGTATAAATGTGATGACCACAAGTCTGAAATAGTAAAATTGTGTAAGAATTTCAAAACTCTCTCGAAACACTAAGAATCTCAACTATCACACTTTGCTCTTTTCTACCAATTATCTCTTTTTTTATTGGAGGGCGATAGCCATCCCTCAAAACACTAAATACACTCGTCAACTAAATACACTCTGAATGCATTGTTATGTTATTACTTTAAAAAAATTATATAAACTTTATGTTATAAAAAACACATTATACATAAATATTTAAAACTATCCATCATTTATTTCATTTCATTATTGTACTTTTCAAAAAAATAATATAAATTTTAAACTTTGACATCTCTTGTTTTATAAATTTTCCATTAATTAAAATAACTTTAATTGTTAATACATTGAATTTGCTATGCATTTCGCCATTTTTATCTACATGGTTACTTTATCAAAATAACTTAAATAAAGAACATATTTTATTATTTTATCTTTTAAAAGAAGGGTATATAAATTTTACTTAAAAACACTTTATAGGGAGTATAACTTTTAAAACTATTCACCATTGTTCTCTTTTATTACTTTTCAAAATTTATATAAATATTAATAAATGTAAATTATAATTAAAAACTATAAATTTTATTTTTAAAAAGATGTCATATCTAGTATGGAGTAATTTAAAACAATATTTAGTGGGATAGTAATAAATATTTTTATATTATATTCAAATTATAATTTTATCAAAATCTTTAAATCGTAAAATGTTCTATATGGATTCATGGATTTAAAATAAATTAGAAATTAATGGGGTGAATTTAGTGTGTTGAGTGAATTTAGTGTTTAGGCGGGATGTGACTATCATCGCCCTTTTTAATTTATTTAACTATTTACTCTCAAACAAGACGTTGGTCATTTTCTTTTCACCTGATCTGGATGTTTTTGATCTGAATGAAATCAGTTCTAATCTGATCTGACTTAATCTGATGTAGTTACATTTAAAACTGTTTCTGATATGATCTAAGTCTGGTCTCATCTAATCTCATTTGATCGGATTCCAAAAAAAGTAAGAGCATTTACAATGGAGAGTAAATCTAACATGTCTCAACTCCTGCGACATCAACATCCCACTAACTTTCCACCCCGTCCCAAAATCCTGCAATGTTATCGCCTTGAAAACTTGTCTCTCCGTTTTTCTACATTATTCATCTTTTTTAATTCAAAACTTGTATAAATTTAATACAAAATTTAATCTTTTAAGAAAAAAAGATGAATAATTTAAAATAGAGTAACAATTAAAAATTAAAAATAAGCGAATACAACTTTAAATTACGAAATACTACATAAATAAAAGGAGAATTTTTATTTGTTTAAAATTAAAATTACAACATTATCACATTGTAACTGTTACACTACCACCATCACACTCCCATACGTCGCCATCCTGAGTGCCGCCATGAATCGTCAACGATTAACTGATCACACTCACATATTACACTATCATCACTTTTTCATTACACTGCGAATGTGTACTCTTACACTACACTACCATTATATTCATATTTTGGTCTTAAAAGACTTAGGACTCCTATTCTGATATTTTCATATTTTTTCTCCTTTCTAGATAGATTTCTTAAAATAAAAGAGTGAGATGAGAGTGAATTAAGAGTGATAAATTGATGTTGATGATTAGTTAAATTTATTGAGTTGAAAAATGAAAAGATTTTAGGGGACCAACGCGGCGAACGGTCACAATGGACGGCCGCCGCGAATTTGCCCAGGAAAATCAACCGGATCAGGTCCAGACTTGGGGCGTGCGCCACTGATGAAATCGTGGCCCTCATCCTGCAATGATCGATCGACGCGGCGCGACATGGGAATTTGTGCAGCGTGGCGGATTCCTCTCTCCATTGTAAATGCCCTAATACTTCGTAAGCAATAAAAAGGAGAATTTGTTTAAATAATACTAAAATATAATGACTTTTCTAATATAGTAATATATGTTTTTATTTTCTAATGCAATACCACTGTTTAATGTCCAATGGTCATTGTTCAAGTAATTGTCCACCGTCGCTAGACATTGTTCAAACTAAATGTCAATCATTACTGGACATTATTCTCACATTTTTTAAAAAATATATATATAGATAATAAAAAATTTAAGTACTGTGAAAGTAATATTTAGAAAATAAAAAAAATTAAATAATGTATTGAAAAAAAATAAGTGGAAGAACGATATCATAATTCATAATTCATAGCACCATGAATTCATGATTCTACTCTTGTCCGACTCGAGTCATACCACATTCTAGGGTTCAAACGTCAAGTTCCAATCGACTTTGATTCATTCTATTGATCGTTGAAATCGTATATCGCTAATCCAATTCAATTTTACACGATTCTGCCAGAGATCGGTTACAATCTTCATGATATTCATCTAGATGCAAATGGCGAACACAGGGGAAGATGACAATGACGCAGTGTTGAGCGATGTGGAGGAGGATGAATCGGCGGAGATTGGTGTTAAGACTCTGCCACCGGAGGATTTCTCCCCCGAGAAATTCCGGGAGCTCCTCGCCGAGCTCGATCGCGAGAGGCAGCTCCGCGCGGCCGCCGAGAGTAGCAAATCGGAGTTACAGGTCTCCTTCGGCCGGTTGAAAAACCTTGCTCACGAGGCTATAAAGAAGCGCGACGAGTGTACCAGACAACGCGACGAGGCCTTCCGCGAGAAGGAAGAAGCTTCTAGAACGATTGAGAAGTTGTCCGGCGAGCTCAGCCTGGCGAGGACGGAAAAAGATGAAATCTCAAAGCAGAGGGATGAGTTCCACAAGCAGTTGGAAGAAGTAATGAAAGCTAAAGAGTCTTCTAGGGTGGAAATAGAGACGGCTGCTTCAATGCTAGTGACTGGGATCGACAAGATTTCAGGAAAAGTAAGCCATTTTAAGAACTTTGCTGCTGGTGGGTTGCCTCGGTCGCATAAATACACAGGCTTGCCTGCTGTAGCTTATGGTGTGATCAAAAGAACAAATGAGATTGTGGAGGAGATGTTGAGGCAGGTTGAATTGGCTGCTAAGGGGAGGAATGAGGCTCGGGAACTGATGGAACAGAGGAACTATGAGATTGCTATTGAGATTTCACAGCTTGAATCAACTATAAGCTCTTTGAGAGAGGAGGTCTCAAAGAAAAATACCCTTGTAGAGGAATTGCAAAGCTCCGTGGCCGAGAAAGATGGGAAATTTTCTGAATTAGAAAGCCAGATGGTTGACAAACTAAGTGCATCGGAAACTGAAGTGTTAGGATTGAAGAAGAAGCTTGTGGAGTCTGATGGTAAAGCAAGCAGTTTGGAATCGAAAATGGATTTGCAAAGGTCATTATTGGCCGAACAACTTAATTACGTATCCAAAATACACCAAAACATTTGTAATGTTATAAAGGTAGTTGACAGTAAGAAGTCATCTGAATTGTCAGAATCTTTGTTTCTTGCTCAGCAAATGGATATGGAGGAGAATATTAGGGCTTCTTTGGCTGGTTTGGACTCCATATATGAATTAACTCAAATTGTGGTTGATAAAACAATAGAATTTATGGACGAGAGGAACCATGAAGTGAAAGGCCTTGATGAAACTGTTTCTCAACTAATGAAGGAGAAGGAGCAGATTGGGTCTTTACTAAGAAGTGCTTTATCCAGAAGAGCTTCGGCAGATTTGTCATCAAAAACAAATGAACTCTTTAAGATAGCTGAAAATGGATTAAAAGAGGCTGGAATAAGTTACAATTTTAGCGGTCATCTTAGGGAAGGAAAGGTTACGGCTTCTGATGATAGAGGTCATGATGATGTTGGTATTTTGGACACAGAAGATGATATTTATGCGCTGGTACACTTAGTTCTCTATTGATTTTAAACATTTTGATCATAGGGTTGAATTATCGTCTTGTTTCTGATTTGTCAATTTTATCAATTAGGCCGGGGCATTAGAGAACATTATCAAGCAATCTCAGCTCGAGATTATTGAGTTCAAACATTCAGTGGAAGAGTTGAGGTTCGTATTAAAATTGTATTACCTATAGAAAAATGAGCACCATGCACGCACACATGAAATGATGTTAATGATCAATCTACATTCAATTCTTATTTTGATTAAATTTTTATGTAACTTTATTTTTTGATAGCCTAGAAAAATGGATTCTATGCCACCTCAGCATATTGAGAGTAATGCTTTGATTTGTTGTTGTTGCCTATAAAATATAGATGCTCTTCTAGTTAGCCCACATTTTATGCGATAAATTCACTACACCTAGGGCCACATGCATTTTTATACTCTCTGTCCCGAAATAAGGTTCCATATTTGACCGGGTATGATTATAAAGAAAGATGAAAAATCTGCGGTTGAAATTTAAGTAGAGAGGAATTATATGAATCACACATTTTTTTCTTTCGAAGGAAAATGGAACCTTTTATTGAGACAAACCAAAATGGAAACTTGGAACCTACTTTTTGGGCGAGAGGGAGTAATCTATCTTTTGTGATTTAGCCCATTACTTGGGAGCTGCTAACAAAATGGATCTTTGTGTTACACAAAGTGCTAATTGTCCTGTGTGTGTGCATGTGTTTGTGTGTTGTGGATTTTACTGAATCAAGGACAGAGTCAAGTTTACTTAATAAGCGTGTGGAAGCTCAAGCAAAGGAACTCATCCATTGGAAGCAACGTGTAGAGGAACTTGAGGAGAAGGAAAGGGTTGCCAATGAAAATGTTAGTATTACCATTATATGATTATATCCTCGTGTAGAGAGCTCTCTTTTATATGTAATGTTCAAGTGAGAAATGCACTTTGTAATATTAGGGAGTTATTAACTTATTATACTAATTCTGAAATACAGGTTGAAGGGCTTATGCTCGATATTGCTGCAGCCGAAGAAGAAATTTCAAGATGGAGAATAGCAGCAGAAGAAGAAGCTGCTGCAGGGAAAGACGTCGAGCAAAAATATATGGCACAGGCATGCTTATGATTAATTCACTTAACCCTTATAGTCTTGTGGCTCCTTGCTCCGATAAGATATTTTATGAATGTGTATATTTCAACGCCGTAGCATCCAGCATATGCTGAGAATAATCTCGTAAACTTTTTACTACGTAAATTCTAGTTTAAAGTAAGTCCTTTAACCCTCATTCCCGGCTACGCACACAATCCTTTAAGAACCCAACAATACAAATTGGTAGCACATACTCCCATCCATTCCTATTTAACTGTCTGGTTCGCTTTTCGAACTTAAAATTTGACCAATAATATCTCTTAAAATACATTAGCAAAAATATTAGAAATAATACATTTAAAGTATTTTTTGATATCAATAATATGGTATAATTTTTATATTTTAATTCGTTGTATATTTTCATATATAGATAGTCCAATGTTTGATGCGCAAAGCAAAACAAACAGTAAAATTACTTAAATAGGAATGGATGGAATACATTCTTAAATTCATATTTAGGAATGATATGGAAATTCTGGTGAAACTATAAACCATCTAATTGTTAAAATACAGAATACTCTGAAATTGTAGTATCTGAATTCTGAAGTGCAAAACCTATTCGTCACTGTCTTTGAGTGAAGTTGTTTGGGGAAATCGAGAAGCATTTAATCAACGATGTAGAAGTTAACAGAGTGTTTCACTATCTTGCAGTTGTCTGCCGTTCGTCAGGAACTTGAAGAGGCAAAGCAGGCTGCCATAGAGTCTGAGAAAAAGCTCAAGTTCAAAGAGGAAACAGCCGCCGCTGCAATTGCCGCCAGAGATGCTGCCGCGAAATCACTGGCGCTGGCGGATTCAAGGGCAGCAAGGCTGAGGGACAGAGTGGAGGAGCTCAGCCGCCAGCTTGAGGAGTTGGATTCCGGGGGGACCTTCACTTCTGGTTTAACCAGACCTAGATATATATGCTGGCCATGGCAATGGCTAGGGCTTGATTTTGTAGGTTCTAGACCTGCTGAAACACGAGAAGATAACGCGAACGAAATGGAGCTTTCTGAACCCCTTCTTTGATTATTATTTTTTTAAATAAAATTGTTGTCCTCCTAATGTTCAGCTTATTGATTGATTCCATTGTGTGATCTGTATATTCTGTGTGCATATTTATATAGATGAAGGCCATTCATTGGTGAAGTCAAAGGAAAATGAAGATTTGCTACCTCCACCAAGTTTTAGCTGTTTTGTTAACTACTAGTATGTTGAGATATATCTTTTTTGGCTAGTCTTGCCAAACACTAATTAAGCTATACATATTTTGCTGGGATTTGTTTGGAGTACATTTATTTAAAATACATAATTTCTTTGGAGGGTGCGTTTGGTTCAAGGGAGGAAGGGAAGGGAAAAGTGTTTTGCCTTATTTTGTTTGTTTGTTTTTTTTTTTGCAATGGAGTTTTGTTACAGGGAGAAAGGAGAGGTATTAGGCCATTATTTGGGTGTCCACCGGTTTCTTTCAAAAAGTTTTGAGTCATACTAGAAACTTAGTAGTAATTTACCACTTTTCACATCAATTATTTTAGAGACATACACACACACACACACACCTTATGTCCACAAATAAAATTCTCGTTGCGCGTTACGATGTTTGACTAAAGTTATTTTCAAATCATTTTATATGTTAAGTTGTGTGAAATTTAAAAATAAAAATTACATATTAAAAAATTAAATTAAAAGATCTACCAAATTAGATGTGACATTACTATATTATTTTATCAAATGAATGATGAAAATAGGTCAACAAAGTGAATAAGGTTTGACCCTGTGAATAGTGAACAGAAAGTTTATTTGTGGATAAAGGTATTTTACTCTTAAAAGTTTACGAAAACAACTAACAAGCAACTTATTTTGGGACGGAGAAAAAAGACAAACAGACAATATAAATGGGACAAAGAGAGTATCTATTGAAGGTTTTGGAAATATTCTCATGGTAATTTCTTTCAATCCTCATACAATTTCTATATCTTTAAAAAGGTTCTAAATTTGGTTTGGTACAAAGTTTAAAAAAATGTAAAAATGTGTAATTAAAAGTTTAAAAGTAATGCAGAGGAGAGAGAAAGATTGTAAATTAACAAAGTTCTCTGTTAAAAGAAAGAACAGATTTTTTTTGGACGTATCAAAAAAAATAAAGAGTTTTTTTGGACAAAGAAAAGTATGTGCCTGTTTGGGAATAATGTTAGAGATGAATTTAGCGCTTTGGATAAAATTTTAACGGTGCAGATTACTTTAAAAATGCTAACGCTAAACACTACTTGTAGATAACCTTTTCAAAACTCTAATGCTAATCGCTAAAGCTATTACCAAAGAGAACTTATATTAATACCATGAAAAAAGAAATCCAATGGCTACTCATCTTGATCCAATGGCTACTGTTCACTCTTCAGGATAATCCCAACTGGTTCGAGCTCTCCAAAGAGAAGAAGCGTTCCCCAGCGATTAGGGTTTCTCCTTTCTTTTCCTCTCTCCAGTCTCCATGTCCGGGGCCCCTTTCTCTAGCTGCTGTGAATGATTGATCGATGGAAGCGAATCTCATGGCTGATTATCTTCCGGCTTACATAGATCGTCGCCCAAAGAAACGTGCCAGATTAGATTGGGACCCTTCTCATACGCCAAAGGTAATTTTTCCGTTATCAGATTTTATTTTATTTGCTGTTTATTTTCCGAATAACTCCACAAGAAATTACTTGTTTGTGCAATTGTGCCTGGCTGTAATTTTGTGAATGTTTCTTTACAGTTAACAACTTTTGAAGTCGTTTATGCATGCACATAATGTTCTATTTACTGATCAAAGAACAAAAAAAAATGACATTATGAATTGAGCCAGCATCAACAATCCCAGTAGAATCCCACAAAATTAGGGCCTGGGGACATTATGATTGAGCCATTCAAACATATTGTAATCTTGAAATCTAAGTTGCACGGAGACGAGGACGGGTACTCAAGGGAGTGGGTACTGGGTCGGGAGCGGGGAAACGCCAACTCTTCTAAAGTTTACAAAGAATTTGGGCGTCGGGACATCCCCAGGTACCCGAACGGGTACGTTTCGTGAACGGGAAGCAGTGCGTTTTTGAAAAATCTGTGCAACATAGCTTGAAATATACACCCTTGTCCCAGAACAAAATTCCACAATTGATTTGGCACATATTGAAATTTATGTAGACCACATAATTCTTTCATTAAAAGGAAAGTTGAACCTTATTTAGGACAAGCCAAAAAGGAAATGTGCAACTCTTTCTGAACATAGGGGTATAAATAGATGTGCATGCATTTCATAACAGTAAAAACGTGAATATTACAGTAGCAGTATGAATATTATTTTAAACTTATCCAAACTAATGTGTATATCTATGAGAACGATAATATTATATACTCCCTCCGTCCACAAACAAACTTCCCATTGTGCGTTATGATGTTTGACTGAAGTTATTTTCAAATCATTTTATATGAAAAATGGTGTAAAATTTAAAAATAAGAATTATAAAAAAACTATATCAAAAGATTTACAAAACTAGAGGTGACATGACTATATTATTTTATCAAATGGGTGACGAAAATAGGCCAACAAAGTGAATAAAGTTTGACCCTGTGAATAGTGAACGGGAAGTTTATTTGTGGACGGAGGGAGTATAAAGTATCCTCTTTGGAATTTAGCCTTTACATTTGTAAGATTATTATTTTGCACAAAATGTAAAAAAGGTTATGTCATTATCCAGAGTAGAGATGGCTGGCTGGCTTAGTGTTTTATTTTTTGCTCTTTTCACTTCAAGAATTCTTTTTGTGAGTAAACTTACCTGTTTAGCTTTTACCTTTGTTGCATACTCGTATATGAGGTCACTCTTTTATATATCTTGAAGTGCATTCTATTTGTATATGGGGGAAGTTTTGGCCTGACTTCTTATACCAAAGGAATATCAATTAATGGCTGTGTGTAGGCTCAGCCAGGGATATATTATGGGCAAGAGGTTGGCAGTGTGTCAAGCTTTGCACACGGAAGATTATTTTCTCATCATGAAAATGCATATGTTAAGAGTCTGGCTCAAAAAGGCTCTCCCCCTTGGCGAGATGATGACAAAGATGGGCATTACATATTTGAGCTGGGAGAGAATTTAACTACCCGCTGTAATCATGTTACTTTCCCATGCCAAAATGTCCCATTTTAATATATAATTGGATTCTGTATGTATAACGCTCACCATGAACAACTATGCGTTTTATGTTCCCTTTTTCCATAATATTTTTCTGACTTTTATTTGCAAATGAGAAAGGATTACTTGGAGGTTATCTTGTGTGGTCATCACTGAAAACAAAGCTAAGCAAATGATATTTTTCACATCTCTTTGTGTAGTGTAGACGTGTAGTGTTCTTTTTAAATTGCTATCAAATGCAAGAAGACTTGTACTTTCATAATATATTTCAGTTTTCTTAGATACAAATGAACCAAAGATGAGCTTCATGATAAATCTGAAAAATATATTCTTACCAAATGTCCATCATGGACATTACGTACCTCTAATTTCCTTCAAAATGAGGCTAGGTATATCAACCAACAAGCCAGTTCTTTCTTACTTTATGCCCTTAATGGCTTAGTTTTATGCCTGCATTTTAAAATTATTCTGCTCTTATCATTTACAGTTCAAGTCAACTTAATTATGAGTTGTATTATGATGTCAATATCCTTATTCCTTAAATTAATTTGTGTTCATTACGTAGGATTTAAGGAATATAAATAAATTAGCGGTTTTACTTGTTTGATACTTTTAAATAGTGTCCTTATTTTGTACTTCTACCTTTTTTTTGCAGATAAGATCCTCCGGAAGATTGGGGAAGGTCAGTCTTGATACCACTTTTGGTATGTTTCTTTGAGTCTCTTTCCATGGGAATTATCCCCTTCAGAATATTTTTTCAGTTCTACAGGTACCTTTGGTCAAGTTCTGGAATGCTGGGATAGGCAACAGAAAGAGTTGGTAGCCATAAAAATTGTCCGCAGCATTAAAAAATATCGCGAGGCAGCAATGGTAGAAATTGATGTGCTTCAGTTGCTTGGAAGATATGATAGAAGTGGCAGTCGGTAAGTGTATATCTGTTTTATCTACTCGCTTGGCTTTTGATTTGATGTTGTGATTAAAAGAGTTCATTCCTTGCAGTTGTGTTCAATTACGGAACTGGTTTGATTACCGTAACCATATATGTTTAGTAAGTATATTGCTAATTCATGGTAACCTCCTTGCCCTGGCTTTCAAAATATTATAGGGACTTAAGGCTTGTCAATGAATTTAAATGCCTTTAACAGGTGTTTGAGAAGCTTGGACCGAGTTTATTCGATTTCCTACGGAAAAACAATTATCGCTCATTTCCAGTTGATCTAGTTCGTGAGATTGCCGGACAACTGTTGGAATGTGTAGCATGTGTGTAGTCAGATTCTGCCATTTTTTATCTTTGCCATTCCGATGGCTTTGTGTTCTCTAGGACCACCATGTTTTGAATGCTATCCTTTTCTTTTAGCTACTTAGCTCTACAGTTCTTTGTATTTGTTTCAAAGCTAAAGCTTCAATCATTCTGTTAGCACACTGCTTTCTTTTCATGTTAATGTGCATATATCTTGAGTTAAAATGTTTCTGGTTCTTGATTTTTTCAAATTTTTTTTCCCAGTCATGCATGATATGCGGCTTATACACACTGATCTGAAGCCTGAGAATATACTCTTTGTATCTCCGGACTACATAAAGCTGCCTGACTATAAGGTACATGGGATTAACATTAGATGATTGAATTTGAACCCCCCCCCCCAAGAGAAAAAAAGAGGAAGAGAGAGAGAGAGAGAGAGAGAGAGAGAGAGAGAGAGAGAGAGAGATGGATCATACACACTTAATTTAGATATTTTAAAGTAGATTTGTTGGCTATATTTTGCATGTGCATTCACAGGTTGCACCATGGCCACCTAGAGATGGATCGTTTTATAAGAGATTACCAAAATCAAGTGCTATTAAAGTAATTGATTTTGGTAGCACAGCATATGAGCGAAAAGACCACAATTATATTGTCTCAACTAGACACTATCGCGCGCCTGAGGTTATTCTTGGTAGGTTGTCATGTTCTTTATTTCTTTGGTCTCCATTTAAGTGTGTTCACTTAGGCTGCGTTCCGTTTGCCTGGTCTGATCTGATTTTTTGAAGATCTGATTTGGTCTGATCTGATCTGATTACAGTTATAATTAAAGCTATTTCTAATCTGGTTTGATCAAATCTAATCTGATTATAATAAGAATAAGTGATAAGCAGAAAAAATAAGTTGAACGGAACGTTGCCTTACTGTTGTGTTTTGCATTTTGTAATTTTTTCAAAACTAATCTATTGTTTATCTTAATTTAGGTCTTGGATGGAGTTACCCATGTGACATGTGGAGTGTTGGTTGTATATTGGTGGAATTATGCGCGGTATATAAATGCATCTGTTTATTGGCAAAAACGATATTGCTTGCTTGTTCAATAAAACCAAAACCATGTTACATGTGTTGGTCTTTCAGGGTGAAGCTTTGTTTCAAACACATGAGAACTTAGAGCATCTTGCCATGATGGAGAGGGTTTTGGGTCCTTTTCCACCTCAAATGTTGAAAAGAGTTGGGTGTGTATCCCTTGTTCAAGCGCTTCATAACTATTATCATTGTTGTCCATTATTCCTGCATATTGTGTTAATTTTGGATGTGTCTGTTTATTTAGTCGACATGCTGAGAAATATGTGAAAAGGGGTAGACTTGACTGGCCCGAAGGTGCAGTCTCCAGGGATAGCATTAAGGCTGTCATGAAATTGCCCCGTCTTCAGGTAGATTCTAGAACTCTGAGTCTGATTGTTAAGGTGGTGTGGGGTAGCATTGTTGTTTTCTACTCCGAATTTGTGTTCCTTTGTCGGAAACAGAAATAAGAAGGGTGAATTTTCCTTCTCTGAAAACATTGTAATGTTTGACAAAAGTACTTTTTCCTTCTCTGAAAACAAGAATAAGAATTTAACAATAATTGGGAGATGAATTTCAACCTTGTGGTTTCATCGTTTTTGAAAGCATGTTCTCAGCTGATACTGATTATACAACATTCAAGGTAGAATTTACATAAAAAAACATCGGGCCGGTTCTATGGCCACGGAGGATACTGAACATGTACGGTGCTCTGTAAAATTGATAGTTCTTACCNAGAACCTAGCCGAAAAAACATATACTTCCATAATGAATCCGGAGTAGTATACACCATTTTAGATGAAACGTCCTTCGATTCTGCAGAATTTGGTGATGCAGCACGTGGACCATTCAGCAGGTGACCTCATTGACCTTTTGCAAGGGCTCCTTCGATACGACCCTACCATTAGGACAACAGCTCGCAATGCACTCAAGCATCCTTTTTTCACCTGTGACCATTTGAGGAGGTTGTAAAAGGGCACCGTGGATGATTTGTTCCTCTACAACACATCAAGGTGCGTATTATTGCACCTCGCCTTTGCTTTTTGAGTGGATTCCTTGAAAAGTGGAACTCGTTCGCCCCAAGTCTTTAGAGCCTCGCGTAAATGATGTCATCCTGAGAAAGTCCCTCGGTTCCCATGTTGTGATCTCGTGGTTCTGGTGTCATTGCACCCATAAGTTTTGTTAGAGCAGTTTTTTTCGCCCCCCAAAATCGAATCTTATTTGCGAATGTACAATTAGTGTGTAAGTTTGTTTATTATATGTCAATTAATAATAAAGCATGATTGGTTTTTTTTAGAATTACGGATGTCTACTCTTAAAGACACTTTTGCCCTTAAGCGGAGTCGTGAACTTTGGAAAATCATGTACGTAGTACTCCGTATGTTTTAGCAAGAACTGTGTCGAGTTAGGATTGGGAAGGATGTCAATACCTAAGGGTATTTATGGTTGTTAAACTCGTAATTTGTTCATTGAGAAATTGTTTTAATTATTGTAATTGCTGGTGTGAAATTATTGATTATTAAATATTAATGGTGTCAACCTTTGAGAAAGCGGAGTCCATTAGCCAAAACAAGAAAGGTCTTTAGGATTGGAGAGAGTATATTCAAACAAACTTAAACCTACAAGTACTTTAAAATAATAAAATGAGTAGTTTTATTACCAAAATAAAATAAAATAACCCTCTAAAAAAGAAAGTGGTAACTTAACATGAAGTACTTTCCTCATTCCGAAATAAAGAGTAAATTTTATAAATAGTCTTTAATTATATGTAATTTTTTCATATTTATTCCTTAATTCTTTGATATTCCATAAATAGTCCAACTTTTAAAAATTATTCAAAAAATAATTCTTTAGGCCAATTGCGTCAAAATATTTTTTCCACCAATAGCCCCTGAAAGACCGAATATGAAATATTTCAAAAATTAATGATCATTTATGGAATATATAAGAAATATAGACTAAATATGAAAATGAACTTGTAACTATAGACCATTTATGAAATTCACTCAAAAATAAATGTTTTGACTTTCTCTTTATCTTTATAAATAAAAGTCTCGTTTTTTACTAAAGAAAAGAATATACTAATATTGTTCACAATATTCCTTGCTTCCCCTACATAACCGCTCATCTTTCATTTTTAAACAAATCTTTTCTTTGAACTTTGTAAAGTAAAAATGCAACAATTCTTTATGGGACAATGAAAAGAATGTGGTCTAAAATATTTCTAACGTTAAAATAAATTTTAGACTCATTTTTCACTATTCAACATTTTAATTCATCGTGAAACAAATATTAGCAAATTAATTTGGGAGAGAGGAAGTACAACTATTGCTCACATATATATACTGCATTTTGAAGTGTCAATACAAATATCACTTCCGAATAAATAACTAATAAAAGTCAACATATTTCAATTACATTTCACTTTATAGTTTATATTACACACCCTTCTACGTAGTTATTACATAGCATATTTGCATTTTATCAAATTCACCATAATTAAGTACGATAAGTGTTCCTCTTGGGATGCATTTCCCCTACATGTGCCATATATTCTAGAACCATTGTAGAAATGCCCTTTTTGACAGAATGTGATTTTGTTTTTGCCCTAAACATGTTTTAAACTCTTTTGGTTGTGCAACTTTTAGCAATCAAGACACCTGGGGGAGGGTAAGTAAGAACAATGGTGCAATAGCCATGGAGCAAATATGAGTACTTGAAAACACAAACAAAGCTTGTTCGGAACGTGCCTTGCACGCGAAACCACACACTCCCACCCTCCATCTGCTTGCTTATCAGGCTGCTCTGGTTTGACGAGATCCCGACTTGGGCCCCAGCAAGGTGGACATTTTGAAACTTGTACTCGCCGTGCGTGAGAGGGAAAGAAAGAATGTTAGCGGATGCAACCGGGGTCCCATAGTGGTAGAGACCCACGGTTGAGTGCTTGAACTCGACACTCCCTCTGGCATTAGGGTTTGTGAAGTTTGCAAGCAGAGTGAGATCAACACTAAGGAGATTTCCCATGTCGAGAGAGACTGCATTCAGGTTGGCATTCGAGATGTCAAACATCAAGTTTCGTGGTCGGTAGACAAGATAGACAACAAAGATTACTAGGCCTACCCCAATCAAGAAAGCACATGTAAGCCATACCAGAGGGGCGGTGGATTTAGTCCGCTCTGTTTGCGGGTAGCGGGCCCGGTTGGGATTTACTGAACATTGTGGCTGAGATCCCGACATCGGAGCCCGGGAACCTAGTCCAAAAGCCGGCGGCAGAGGGAGTTTTCTATCCGTTCCATCCCGTGGAGGATAACCCGAGCCATCTTCAGGCTCCGATGATGGGTGATGACTTTGAGGGAGAAACGGTTGCGGCGACTGGGGAACCAGGGACTTGTGCGGCGTCGGTGGAGTCCAATACTCAGGCCCATTGGGCTGCTGTCTGGGCCGAGGCTGAATATTGGCCGGCCCACGAGGCACGCGTGGTGGCTCATCGTCCGCTGTGTAGAAAAAATGAGGATTCGTTTCGTACCCACGGGGCATAATTGGGTAGGGGATGGAGGGCTCTCTCACTCTCTCAGGAATACTCAAAACAACACAAGTACATATATAAAATAGGAGTATATAACTGTTTGTCTCCAGAAAGCAAAGAATAACTGGTTTGCCAGCCAAACAAGGCAAAGTGAACTTCAAGATACTCACTCAGCTTTGCCTTTTAGTGTTTGCTTCAGTGCAGCACAAAACTTATTCCTTGTTCTGGGAAAACATAATGCTTTAATATATTATTATTTTTTTCATTCTTGAAGAGAAAAAAAAATCAGAAAAATCCTACCATCTTCATGACATACAAAAAGCAAAAGCAAAGTATAGTTACAACTTGAAGTTGGAAAACCAGACTTACATTCTCCATTCCGGTGAAACAGCAGCCATAACAGTAGTCATCGTGCGTGTGGAAAGGGAGAATTCATTTACTGTTCCGTCTCATATATGCTTTATCGATCTTAGAAAAGCCAGCGTAGGGCCCATTGCAGTGCCCCTCAATGATTTATATGACAAAGGCTTGCCTGAATTCTCCTGGGAAAGTTGTAGCTTTTTTGCAGTAATAGCTTCACTGAATTGGTCCCATGGGTTTGCATCATTTTCTGCAGATAATGGAAATGCCTTAATGTTAGTGGGACAAAAGTAGTACTTGGATATACATATGATGATATGGGAAACACAAATAGTAGTGGTACCTTTAACGGTGGAATGCATTTTTTCACTACCATGGATCAAATCTTGGGTTTCTGCAAAACAACGAACAATGTCGTGAGGGGAGGGGCAAAAATTTTGGGTGGGGTGGGTGGATGGGGGGGGTTAAAAAGCAGTAGCCAGCTGATATAACCATACCAGGTGGAATGGAAGCAGGTGTTTGCACATTGGCAGTAGTAGTAAACAAGGTAGAGTCATCTCCAGCCACGCTGTCATCACAGGAGCTACCAGGAACTCTCGTTTTATGTTCTAGAATACGAACTTCAGCAAGCAAAGAGAAAACTATCTGCATGGAAATTGTAGAACATAATTTTAAGTGGGCCAGAAGCTACTATGTGCAGGTTAGGAAGACGCAAGATATCATGACGTGATTTGGGGGTGGGGTGGTTAATTTACCTCCAACGATCCGTCCTCTTTATATACACTATCATCAGGTTGCATGGAAGATTCATCATCCCCGTCAGGTTTCTTACAAGGGATTGGAAACTTGGGGACTGGCATTAATGAAACTACACCTGATTGAGAATCATATGATGATACTTCCCCAACCTTCAACAATAGAGGACATCAGTATTATGTCATCCTATGTATAAATGACCAAAATATCAAAAATCCTGACAAAGATGAAAAATACCCGGTAGGAGGAGAGCTCAGGGGTCCAGGTGGATGACAGCTCAAGCAACCGATATGCGATCACATCACCTTCCTAACATTTCGAATAAGAATGATAAATTTCATTTTAATATGTAATATGTAAAAGTCATAAAAATGAAAGCAAAAATACCCATTCCGGTGGTCTGTTTAAAACAAAAAATTATCACCAGTAAAATAAACAAACCTTTGGAGAACCAGAGAGGAATGGGACTTTAGTAAAGTCAAATGGCTCAGCAGACTGCTTTAACATTTCAGCATTATGCATTTCAGCATCAGGCATTTCAGATTGTTCTCTGTTTGAATCATTATTAACTTCAATTCTTTGGAAAAATGAAGATTTCTCAGTGCCCCATTTCTGACCCTTTTTCTTGCTGGTGATTCCATTCCAATGATAATTTTTCTGGAACAACGATGACAAAATTGAAACACTAAGTAGTATAGTAGGTGCTAAATAAAACATCACAAAGAAACAATAGAGCTTAAAGCAGTAAAATTAGTAGGGACACTTTTGGCACACATAAGGCTTCCTGAAAGTGCGAATACACTATCACATAGTAAATTGTAAAAAGCTCAATCAGATCCATGAGTAAGATCAAGCATCTTGATTGTGTCTGTTCCGGAGTTCAACGTACCATTGCTTTCAATTGTGTCTGTTCCGGAGTTCGTTCTGCATCACAGAAAAATATACCACCTTTAAGTAAATAAATACAATAGCCCAGACAATTATTTTCAAGAGATGAAATTGTAATTCAGCAATGACTTGCCAACAGGTAGGAGTTAAAAGTCAAACTGCTAATGAAGTCATTAATTGTGGATCTAAAGAACCTATTTTTCCCTAATATGCAATAGAATTCGAGTCACTGTCAAAGAACAAACTGAAATGAAGGAACAAAACTTCATATATAGTACTCCATGCATCAAATAAAACGTAACTAACTAATTGGCATTTTTAACAACAAAAACAAAGACCTTTCCCCAAAGGCTCAAATCGGATGTGCCCAGGCCTTATTTCAACAGGAACAACAGTTTCATCATCGCTATCACTATCGCCATTTTCATTTGGTTTATCACAGGAATTGTTTCTTGCATCTGATGGTATATGTTCCTCAGCATCTTTAACTGTATCATCGGCATGCAATTCATTCAAGTGTAGCTGCAAAGATGACATTTTAATTCCAGACCAGAATGGGATGTATGTGAAAGGATGAAAACAATAAAATGTATTTGACTACTCACAAGCCCATTTACTTGATCAGATGCCTCCCCTCTTTCATAGGTACTTTCTCCCTGCTTCAAATTTAGGACATAAGCCAAGTAATAGGGTCTGTTTGATAACATTCCTGACTTGTGTTATATGTCTTCTGCTTTCAGAAATTTTAGTTTTTCTTTCTTTTGTTTTCACATTTGAAAAACATTTATCATGTTCACTAAGCCTGTTTTGCATATATGAATTTATATTAGTGGTTATAAAAAATAAAACTACACATGTTTAATAAAAAATGTCAAAATACAAAAAAGTGTTTTCAAATACAATGAATATTAGAATATCTCATTTCCTATCTTTTTCAGAAGTCTGCTATTTTAAAACATAAACACTACTGTCAAACGTGTATTCTACCTTTTTGTTTCCAGAAAAGTGAAGACAGAACAGAAAACAAAAACATAATCAAACAAAGCCTTGGTAACTCACATTTCCTACTCTTACATCTTCTCCATTCTTCACCTCGATTTGCCCATGGGTCCAGTTTCTCTGACCATTCATGATATAAGTGGTCAAAAAAGGATAGTGATTAGCATCTGGCATGAGTGAACTGTATGCATTTAGTAACTCACGTGTACTTTTTGTAGACTTACACTCTCTCCACTATTCACTCTACTTTGTTCTTGCTTCCAATTTTGCTTCATGTTTTAGGATATGAACTGTCAGAGAATAGATATTCACAGAGCGCATTTGACACACAGAGTATGAACATCTAGTAACTCACAGGTCCATTTGGCTTATTGAGACCCTCTTCACTCATTACACTAGCCTGGCCCCATTTTGTGTTGGGCTGCAAATTCAGCATACCTTAAATTAGTGGTGCGCAAAACACAGAAGCAGAAGCTTTATGCACGATTACCGTATCTACATGTCTGCTTGGTAGGCCAAATGCCTCTCCAGATTTATAAGAATGCATTGCTTTCCACTGTTTCCAGTTTCTATGCAAAATCAAATAATTAAGAATGTGGTTTGCTTAAATATACTCCATCCGCCCCAAAATGTTGGTTAACTTTTCCATTTCTGATTATTTTAAATTATAGTGCATGTCCATTATAGAAAACTTGAAAATTATAATAAGTACATGTTGTACTGAAATTTACGCAGGCATTAAATACAAAAGCTATGGAGAAGCAAAAAGCAAAACTCACTGCAGAAGAGTTGGAAAAAAAGTCTTCAAATTACTGTACAACATATGGAGTATCACTCATTTTCCTCTAAAAAGTAAAAAAGTAAGTTGTACTTGTTGTACTAAACAATTTCTCCGTACTCTTTAGTTTATCTTTACATATTTCTCACTCTTTTCTAGGAGGGACTAACATTATAGGACGGAGGAAGTATAAGTGTCTAGCATAAAATATACTCCGTAAAAGAGTAGCTTCTCTTCATATTATAATACTTGGAAGTACTATGCTTTTTTTATATACTCACATTTCCGTTTGGCTGAACGGTTGTCCCTTCTGTACCAACTTTAGATTGCATCTCTTTCCAATTCCTCTGCAAATTTGTGAATAATTTTAAAATACAAAATAACAAATCAAATACTCCCTGTCTTATAAGAAGAGCAATTGATCACCAACGTACACTTTTAGTTTTACTAAGTTACAATTATTGGAAATCATCAAATATGGCTACAATTTATTTTTTTTTTAAATTTATCTGTTGGTTTTACTAAATTTAGCACACTCAACTTGATAGGGACACCCATCTATAACTCTTTTTATGGAACAGATGGTGTAATAAGTAAAAGGTGGTGTCTCTGTGTATACTTACAAGTGCTTCTGATCGAGAATCAAGATTTATCTTCTGAAATCCAGAAAACAAAGTAATTAATGGTGTCCATGCCACGGAAACAGTCAAACAGAAGATTTATGCTTAGGTATATTAGAATACTCACATGACCATTTGGCCGGCGAGCTGCAATTTCTCTAGCGGATTTAGATTGCATTGCTTTCCAATATTTCTGTGAAATTGAAAATAAGTTTCCAATAGAAATACAACAACTCAGTAAGGTCCCACAAGTGGATCTTAGAAGGGGAGATGTACGCAAGCCTTACATCTACCTATAAAGGTAGAGGCTGTTTGTGAAATAAAATACGTAGTACACAAAATGTGAGTGTGGCACTCTAGCATACACTTACGAGTGCCTCTGCTTCAGTACCCGCACTTGATTTCTGAAAATTCAGGAGACAAGCTATGACACAACCTATAGTTCAGAAATAGGAGAGTTATGCTTATTAAGGATACTATTACTCACATGTCCATTTGGTTGGCCAGCTGACTCTTCTCTTACAGGTTTAGATTGCATTTCTTTCCAATTTCTCTGCAACATTAAAAATAGAAATCAGCAGCTTAACACAATCACAATGGGGGTGTTCAGAAATGAGATTGTTGGAGACCTTTTTGTCAAAAAACAACACTCTTAGGCAAATGAGATGTTTGGCATCGCACTGTTAGAAAGTTTTTGTGAACAACCTCTTGTGGCAACTTTTTGGCCCCAAAAAAACTGGTTCACAAAATATTTGTTGTTTAAGAGTTTAGGACATAGATTTTGGGTCTATAGTTTCTACATAGAAAAAACTCTTCCCGTCTTCCGAAAGAGCTGACACAAACATCTACCTGAACACCTTACACTCACAGCTAACACAAATCTAAAAATACCAAAAAGCTACCAAATAAAAGATACTCCATACAGAGTATACAATTATGCAACTCTATGTCTAGTACTCTAGTTTTATTTAAAGTGGAGTGTTTAAAAAATGTTTGTCCAGTCTAGGGCGCCAAGTTGGCCAAGCACCTAAAAAAGGCTGGCTTCGAAGCTTTTCCTTTGTCCTAGGCGGCCGACTGGGCTGATTTTCACAGCACTGATATTCAGTTTGCATTTGACATTACTTACAACTGCCTCAGATTGAGGATCAGCATTTGCCTTCTGAATTTTTGCCATTTCCCGCAACCATTGCCTCTTTGCGGCTTTTCTTTTTGCATTCCTACTACGCCGCTGTTAAATCAAGAAAGAATTAGGGAATAACTATAGAGCTCTTCATCAATAAAGTACATTGTATACTTCAGAATATAATAAAATACTACAATAAGATATGAAGTTGAGGTCGTTTTATGTCTCCATGAACATCATTGGAAAAACAACATTCACATGCTCAAAATAACAATATAACATTTACTAGTTCATCAAAAATTTAGTAATGCAAAAATCATGTTGGACAAAGGTTTATAAACAATTGCAACAAATTATCTGCTGACAATTTTATGGCAAGGTAAGGCAGTGTCCAGTTCAGGGAAAACAACTATTTACAAGATACCTTTGGAGTTTCCTCTGACTTGGGTGTCGTGTCCACATTGTCCTTTTCAGTCTCTTTCATATTATCATTCCTAGGCAAAAAAACAAGAGAGTAATTACTAATTATCTCATGCACATGTAAAAGCAGGCTATGCTTAATAGATGAGTATATAAATAAAAGTGCACTCTAAAATAATGATTTATTGTGGGATACAGGCAAAAGCATGGAATTAACACGAGATCATAACAAAGTAAGAGCTAAAGCATCAATGTGTTCCATAGAGAACCAATTGATGAGAGGATTTACACTCAATTCCAAAATGGAACGGTAATATTAATTAGAGAAATGGTATAGTAACAATACATGATTGTGACAGGTGCAGTGACATCAGCGGTACTTTTTCCAGCATCATCCTTCTTCTTTGAGTCGGATATTTGCTGCTCACTGTGAACACTCTTTCCCCTATGGAAAACCACTTGTTTAGGGGTCTCACACTCAATTCAAGAATGGAATGAGAAAGCTTAATTTGATATATGGCACAGTAGCACATACATGTTTGTGACAGGTTCAGTAACATTAACTTCGCTTGTTTCGGCACAATCCTTCTCATTCAAGACAGATTTTTTCCTACTCTTGTGAATGCTCTTCTCCCTTTTCAAAACTAGTGGCACTTCCTCGGCGTGCTCAGCCTCATCATCAATATCAGGCTCCATAATTTCAGAGCGATGTTTCTTCTTCTTCCTGTGGTTGATAAACATCACGAAAGTCATTGGTGAGAACATTCACAGCTGTAAGTCCCACCATATCAAACATGCAAATTCAGAAGACAGGAAAAAGAGCACATATAAAGCATGAACTTAGTGCATACTTCGAAAGCTTTTCTAGAGTCTTCCTTTTCTTGGAGGTTGCACCTTCACCCAACTTAACCTTTAGAGGAGATGTATCACAGCCCTGGTTTTTCCCATTTTCTGCTGGTTCCTCGCTCTCATAACCTCCGGTTTCGTTGTTGAATACCTGATTGGCTAAAAGAAAAGATTCAGATTTTGAAGACTCTTCATTGAATTCAATAGCCAATGTGCCAGATTTTCTCTTTCCATTGGCCTTCTTTTTCTTGAGGGTTGCATCTTCTCCCAGTTTATCCTCAAGATGAAATTTAACATGGACCTTGGCTTTCTCATTGCCTTTTGGTTCCTTGTTTTCATAACCTCTGATTTCCTTGTTAAATTCCTCATTGGCCAAAAGCAAGGGTCGAGACTTTAGAGGTGCATCATTGCACTCAATTGCTGGTGTACCTATTCGTCTCTTCACACTAACACATTGTATGTTCCCACCATAAGAATTCGGATGTTTCCATTTCTATAAATATAGAACCATTCAAGATAGGCACAAGTGAGACTGACCTTATAACATCTTTATCTTTCAGAATACTACTAGACTCAAAGGGGGGCAAGGCAAACCCATCCATCTGTATAAGATTGAAATCCCACAAAAAATACAGCTTCAGAACTAACAAAGTAAAACATATATTCCCAGCTCAAGAAAAACCTTTGCTTTTCCAATTGACCACATAGAGTCCCACATGGGCCACACCATTCTCTACTTTTTTTAGCCATTTTCCACCATTTTTGCAAGAGAGGTGTTCACATATTTGCTCAAACCAAATAAAAAACAATAACAGGGGAAAAACACAAAAAAACACCCACGAACCATTTATAAAAGTAGGCCAAAACTCAACCCAGCACCTATGTTTTCCAAATGACAACTGCTAGTATAAACCTCTAGTGCTCAATGTTCTAAGCATCCCCGACTAGGTGCTATGCCTCTGTCTCCCTTAGAAACAAGCCCGTCTTTTGGGGCAGGACGACAGGCTACCAAAGATGGCGCCTAAGGCCCCTTAAATTTTGGGGTCCAAAATTGTTTTTAAACAGTATTGTGTAGTATTATGTCCAATACCTTAAGGGCTAACAACTTATCCAAACTTTGAAAATGCATAGTAATCAAAATTGCAATTACTATAGATAAAAAAATTGGAATATTACATAATACATTTATTGCTTACAAAGTAATACATTTTCGAAACTGAAATTGACAAGTTCTTCAACGTCTCAAGAAAGACTGAATGGATTGACAATGTTGTTGATTGAGCAAGAAATGGTAAGAGAACTTGATTACACACATCTGATCAATGAATTTGAATTCCTGAAGGGAAAAGAGGGTACATTTTTATTTGTTGGACAGGAAACACTTTGCTGCGTTTTTTTAATAACATGTAGTCTACTTTTTAAAACGAAATTTCTTACTATGTTTTATATTTTTACAATGCAAGAAGCGTGTCTCTCGGGATAAGGCACTCAGGGTCACAATTCATATAAGCAACTAGGCACTATGCTCTAGTTTACTAATAAACCATTGCAGCAAGCAAACAGAAATTATGAAGGTAGTGTACATACAGAGAGAAGAACGCCACAGGGACAAGATTCATGGAGATTGAAAATCTGGAGAATGTATGAGCCGAGGTCTGAAATTGTTCGTTGGTGCTGGGGTTTAAGGAGGACCCAGGTGTTCTCCAAACCCTCTGATACCTGCGATTCGCTGAGAATGCCTCCATGGAAAACCAATCTGATCCTCGAGCTAATCTCCTCCGCCATCACCGCTCTCATGCAAGCCTTCGATGCTCTCACTGTCTATCGCATGAATAAATGGAAGAAAGAGCGGTGATTTATGTGTCCGTGGAGCATGAAGAAGAAGAAGGCCAAAACCAAATCACCGGAAGCTTGTTTGTATATACTGGGATAAGAATTGGGCCTTCGGTCCAAAGTTTGGAGTCCTCATCTTAGTTGCTCTAGTCATAAAATGACCTTAGTTTGAAGGTCAAAAGATTTATTTCGTAGTATATTGTCGTTTTATTGACATGTGCTTGGTTAAAATGACACCAAACTTTTGACAAAAAAATAACTTTGGCATAATACTAAATTTTCTAATAAAAACTTTCAGATCTTACATAAGTTAAAATGATTTTAGGGCATTTAAAATTTATTCTATCAAATCAATCGTTAGAAGTAAATAATACTCCGTACATTACATTCATTGTCATTAACTAATAAAACATTCTACAATTTTAATTATGCTCATATATTTGATACGAACTCGTATCAGATATAGAAGAATTTCAAGCATATTCGAGCTCCAAAGAAGTTGAGACGAGGAAGAGGAAGAGAAACACAGGCTGAGCCTAGCGATCTGAGAGAGGAGAAGAGATTTAGGGTTTGTGATAATTGTTTATTGATTGATTGATAACTCCATGATGATAGATACATATATAGCTTTCAACTTCATGACGTTGGACCCCTCGTCAGTTGTTTTCATGGCTTTAGACTTGCTATAGGTGGCCTCTCCAACATGAAATTTGATGCTTGTTTCCTTTTATTCGTCAGCATTTTCGAGAGTCGATGCAGGGGGTTGGTGACATCTTCCTCTATTTAGACCAATGTGCCTCCACTGCCTACATTTATTAGTAGTCACCACTACTTGTTAAAACAATAAAAAGTAATTTTTATTTTTGTGACTACAGTTAGAAAAAATACATTCTAAGTTGTCTATTATCCCAATGAAGGGAATCATGCCACATGTAGTTCTAAATATAGTTGATAAAGGGCCTGTTTGGGAATAGCTTTAGAGATTAGCGTTAGCGTTTTGAAAAGGCTATCTACGGCCAGCGTTTAGCGCTAGCGTTTTCAAAGTAATCTGCACCGTTAAAATCTTATCCAAAATGCTAACGCTAATAACGCTATTCCCAAACAGGCCCAAAATTAACCAAATAAACTTTTAAGGCGCGTAATAAATGAGAATGTTTTCCTTAAAATTTTTTACCTACTCTACTATAAGTAACAAGGTTTAAAAGATAAAACTATTACTCCCTTAGTCCCTGAGTATTTGTCCACGTTTGACTTTTTTTGGTTAAAATTGGTAAACTTTGACATCAAATTAAATAAAAATGATATTAGATATTGATACAAAAAGAGTTTTATTAGATTTATTGTATCAAATGTTTTCAAAATATTACTTTATTTAATTAAAATACAATATATATTTTATTTAATTATAGGTCAAAGGTTAAAAACAGTTGACCGAAAAAAGTCAAAACTGGACAAATACTCAGGGACGGAGATAGTATGATACAACGAAGGAGACCAAATTATTCAGTTGCTCTTCGCTATAATTTACTGATGTACTTTAATGAGAGTCGTCTCAAGACAAATTAGGAGTAACTATATGGTAAAACCAGCTGTACCTAGCGATATGTATATCCGGGTAGTACTTATTCTGAAGTTAAGTGGTACTCATTCTCGCACAAACATAACAGTTCATTTGAAATATCGTGGTACTCATTTTGAAATAACGCAGTACTCATTCTGAAATAACAAAGTGCCCATTTTCACACATTCGTACAATATTCATTTATGAATAATGTAATACTCATTCTAAAACCTAGTAGTACTTATTCTTAAATAACATATCATTCATAAAAATCTAAAATATTGGAATTAGAAGAGATTGAATTAGAGCTTTGCTGACCAGGTCTGGAATCGCGAAATTGCAGATCGGAGGAGTCTTTTTCATCACCGATCGTTTTTGCCTGAACTTGTCGCCTTCATTGTGGATACCCGGGTTGGACACAAGTTTCTGGAGTCGCAGAGCTGTTACGGCGATAGAGGAGGGCGGAGAGCAAGATGCTGGAGATGAGCATGACGACGAAGACGTTGAGGTGGGCGGCTGATTGAACCCTCTAATTCTGATCAATTTTAGTCTGGTTGTACGGGAAGAACTGTACAACCGAATGTATAATATAATTTGCGACAAATTAGACAAAAAAACATAGAGAAATAATTAATAATAAATTATTCATCTACATACTACCACTAACTAATATTTAAAGAATGTAGGATAAACACAAGAAATAATTACATTATTTATTCACTATTCTAGATAATCAACAAAATACTTCATCCCGTCCTAATAATATTTCATATTTTGACTTTTTTGTCAAATAGTAACACTCTTTGATCATAAATTATGAGAAAAATATATTAAATCATGAATAAATACAATATAATTCGATTCATCCTAGGATATAATTTTGATGCATCAAATTTTTGTATTAGTTATTTATTTAATTTAGATTATGTTTAATTTATAGTTAAAGAGTGTCCTTGTTTGACAAAAAAATCAAAATAGAAAAATTTTTAGGATAAAAAAAATAGTAATTAGTACGAGTATTAATTAATGTTCCTCATCATAGAATAAATGCTCACGAAATAAATAAACAATTTTTTTGTTATTTTAGATAATCAATGAAATCATAATTAATAATAAATTATTTTTCAACACTTTAACTTTCCATTCACTTTGTGACAAGTGTCCTTTATATAGAAAAAGATATGACTTTTAAGAACAATCATATCTCTTTTCTTAGATCATGTCGATTTATTCATTTAAAAATTTCTAATTTGAATTCAAAATAAATCTATAAGAGTTATGTCATTTAGAATTTGAGCATGTCTCTTAGAGCATAAACAATGGCAAGTAAGAAATAGAATGTCACACGATGACGGGGCATATTTCAACTAATTAAAACAGATCCAGTCATAGAGTGGTAAATGAGTGGAATGACAAGTTCTACAATGGCAAGGCATTACTTTTTTCTTTTTTTATTTTTTGTTGTTGTATATTAACTAATAAAAATTATTTTTATCATCTCTTTTAATATACAAATACTCGATATTTCTATTACGTTTAAAGAAAAAGTTTTTTTATATAAAAATAGAAATTGAAAGTAAAAATAAAAATATTTCATATTAAATAATCAAATTAACAAATTTAAAAATCATAATACAAATTAAACAAAATAAATTAGAAAACATGAAAAGGAGATTGAGTTATTACCCCATGTGGTCTTCCTCCCAGTAGCTGCTCCACTAGCCATTCCATATTTCCGTGCCTCGGCCAATACTCGCAGAAAGAGGCAAAAAGCAAGTTACACGCGAGGAGAAAGAGATCTGGTGCTGATGTGGCAGTGCGTGGAGGTCATTCTCCTCGCCACTGCAAATGCTCTTATAAGGCCGTCTGTAATGCCCCCTCGCGTGATCCGCCATGGCTATGTAACGTCTATAAATTATTCCATCGAACGTACTCCCCTCTCGATCCAGGAATCGCAACATGTACTAGATGTCCTGTCCAAGCCAAGGGACTTACGCCAAAGAGCCCTGCCAAGTGATGATTCAAGCGAGATTTTGCATTTTTGAACCACGCAATATTTGGTTTCCACTTTGGTTGTAGATGTAACCAACCTGCTATTAACGAGATAGCCGAAATAACGAATAGAAAAAGAGCTCCAGTATAAAGATCCTCCTTAGTCCGTAACCCGATTGTATACCACCACTGATAAACACCAGAATAAGCAATATTCACCGGGTCAACAGCACCTCCTCTAGTAAACGTTTCCACGGCTGGTTGACCAAAATGCGGATCCCAAATTGCATGTGCAATGCTTTTTTCTTTTCTTCTTTGTAAAGGTCATGTTAACCCAAAAAATATTTTTTCTCCAAATTTCAAACCTACTAATTCCCTCTCTCTTTTCTATCTAAACAACCTAATTCCAACCAATTTCAAATGTAAATTTTATTTTTTTTACTCACGTCATGAATCCAAACAATCTCAATTTTCCATATTTTTACAATCCCAATAACTGTCTCCCATTCGATCCAAACAATCCAAACTTCCGACATATTTGAATATTGGACACCATCCCCGAACATCTTCTCGGGTGGCTCTCAAAGTTTAGTGTTTTCGAACTTCATCCTAGAGACTCAACCTCATGACATGCCGAAGACGCAATCTCTGCATGATAAAGATACTCATCTCGAGGCAGAGTCTGGGAAAAAAGAAAAAAGGCTCCATTTCCAAACCTCGAAGCCGGTGCCAATGAAAAGAACAAGTTTCATTTGGTCAAATGAGGAGGAGAGTGCGTTGACAACTACTTGGATCGATGTGCTGGAATATCCAATCCAAGGTAACTAAATTTATATTTTTGGCACAAGTTTTATTTTAATTTTTTATTGACTAACACAATTTAAAAAAATTGTTGCCAACAACAAAAATATTGAGCACTTTTTGGGATCGCGTCCACAAATAGTTTCATCTAAAACTGAGGAGAGAGAACTACCGTATAGTAGACGTGTTGACGAGTAAGTGGTGCGACTTGAAGAAAAAAGTCGGGAAGTTTGTCGGATACTTCACATACCACACAAACAACAACAAAAGTGGGTGGGGTGAACTGAATATCATCAACGTTGCACATCAAGAGTACAAGCGCATCGAGGGCCACACTTCTGGTAAATTGAGGCGTGGAAGATTATGCACCAGCTGATGCACTGGCAAGAACGACATCCTTTGACAGTCTAAGCGATTACAAGGAAGAGTTGCAGTCCTTAACCTCTCGAATGATCGACTTTTTGAAGATGAAAGAGGCATCCATATAAATAAAAAGAAATTGTCAAATGGTGACCGACATGGCATTCCCCAAGCATGAAGTATGACGGTACAGACGAACGCGGTCTTGCATTCCCCAAACGTGATCGTGATCACGCCTAGATTTTTTAAATTTCCAAATTTTTTCATGTGTTTCCTTTCATGTATTTTTTTCTCAATTTATGCAATACATGTGTGTGCTTTTCTTTTATTCAATTAATTGTC